CGGTGGTGGTAATGGTACTGATGATGAGAATGATGGTGGTGGTGGTGGTAGTGGAGTTTATAAAATTTTTTATAGAATTTGGGATCCCCTTCAAATTGTTTCAATCGCTCATTATTGAATTTGTTGAGTTTTTATGTTTTCATTTCCTCAAATTTTTGCTTTTTCCGTCGTCTGCTTTTTTCTACTTTCATCCAAAACGAATGCTTTGATATCCGGTTTGTGATCCGCTACTACTGTTTTGTATTATTCATCATCCAATCCCTTACCTTCTAGAAAAATTAACAATTTTTATCCTTTTGATTTTTTTTTTTTTAAACAATCAACAATTTTTTTTTTCTTATCACTCTATAATCAATTTTATCTGCTTCCACGTACCGGAAATAAAATTCGAAAAATTTTAATTAAAATTTTATTTTTGGGCGTTGTTGTTGTTATTGTTGTAAAGAAGGAATTTGTCAAAACGTCGACGAACGTCGACGTGAATCGCAAAAGTTTTTCTCTCTCTCTCTCTCTCAGTTATTGTAAAGAATCAATTGAAAAGAATGAATGAAATAAAATGAAATTTAAATAATAATAATAATAATAATAATAATAATAATAATAATAATAATAACATTAAAATGTAATTAAACGTTTTGATTACTACACAAATTTTGTATTTTAACATTTTGACAAAACTAAATGAATTTGATTAAGTTGATGGTGATGATGATGATGGTGATGGTGATGGTGACGATGGTGGTGGTGGTGATGGGGGTGATGGTAATGGAATCACTTTATTACCTTATTTAATTAAAGGAAAATTAAAATGGAATCGTCGTTTCAACATTTAATTTTAAAATATTTCATATATATGTAAAAAAAAAAAAAAATTATTCTAGAAAAATCCGCTGAATTGAATAATATTAAATGAAAATAAGAAGATGAATGAATAAGAAAAACGTTTTTTTTTTTTTGTAATATTTTTCATTTTAAAAATTCTTTTCAAAAAGGTTTCTAATGCCACGAAAAATAAATGTTATATATATATAAAAGATGAAAGTCGAGCGGTAATAATTATAAAGTGATTATTAAATAATATGTTATCGTGAGAAAAATATTATTATTATTACGTTTTGATAACAGATCGTTATCGATACGGGAAAAATCTTTCAACGGTTTTTTTTTCGGGGGGGAAGGGTGGTTTATATTGCGTAAATTGATTTATCGATTTGTGAGTCGTGTTGTATTTGAAATTAATGTGCGTGTGTGTGGGTGGGCGTGCATGCGTGCGCGTGTATATGTATATTTAACATATGTTTCCGTTAGAAATAAAAAAAGAAAAAGGTATTTAATGATGTAAAATTGACCGATGAGGGGTAAAAAAAAATTAATGAAGATTGCTAACCTTTTTTCCCCCCATTTTTCCTTTTTTTCGTTTTTTTTTTCTTATTTTGTTAACATTTTTTTTACCCCCCAAAAAAAGTTTTTTTTTTCCTTTTCGAATTTTTTTTCGTAAAAGTAGTACGGGAGATGGGGGGGGGAGAAGAAAAAATTTTAAAAAGAAATTTTCTTTCTTTTTTTTCTTCTATGGAATTGTTAAAATTGAAAATAATATTAAAAAGGATTTTAATACTGTGGTGATTCTCTCTCTCTCTCTCTCTTTTATTCTTCCTCTTTCTTTCTCTCTCTTTTATTCTCCCTTTTGCTCTCTCTCTCTCTTTTTTTTCTCACTTTTTCTCTCTTTTTCTCTTATTTTCTAACCCTCTCCCACTTTCTATTCGTTTCTCATTGTTTCTCTCTTCCTGTATCTCTCTTTCTCTCTCTGTTTCTCTTTCCTATTCGTTCTTTCTCTCTCTTTCTCACATCATCTTTCACTCACACAAATTTCATTGTACAAACAAAGACAAAGACAAAAAAAAAAAAAAACGACAACGACGACGACGACGACGAAAGCCATCATTCGAAAAATTTTTTTTTATTTTTACGACCTTTTTTTTTGTGTGGGGAGGGGAGGAGGAAGGGGGAGAGTAATTTTTACAAAAAGGAAAATTTTTTCCGTTACATAACCTTTCACACCAGCAATAAATCTTAATTTGTGTTTTAACAAAAAAAAAAAACAAGAAGGAAAAAGAGAATTTTCTTTTTCCCATATTTTTCCTTTAGTCGATTTCGTCTTTACCACTTCGACTTTCTTTCCGCCCCTCAAAAGTTTTTCTTCCTTTTTCACCCTCCCCTCCCCTCCTCACCTCCCCACCTTCCGATTTTTCCTTTTTACGTAATTATTTTATTTTATTCATTTAAAAAAAAAAAAAAAAAACTTGATGTAAATTTCCAAAATTACAAAGTGTATAAAATTTAATTTAATTTAAGTAATTTCAAAAAAAAAAGTTTTTCCTTTTTTTTTTTTAATATACAACGTGTCTTTACCCCTTCTCCCCTCATTACCGGGGTTCCCCCCTCCCTTCCTCCCATCAAGAAAAATATAAAAAGAAAATTTTTTTTTAAACTTTAAACTTTAAAACTTTTTTTAATCCAAAAAAAAAAAAAAACGAAATTAAACACCGCAAAAATATAAAAAAATTTTTTTGTTTGTTTGTTTGTTTAAACATTTTGTTTTGACATTAGGTACGACAACAGGTTTGTTTTTCGTAAAATAACGTGCGTGACACGCAATAATTCAATCGAATTTTTTTATAAAAAAAAAAAAAAAAATTAATAATTAAAACTTTTCACGTTGCATTTTTAAA